CAAACGGTTTTGCCAGCTTGTGATTGAGGTTTTAATTTCCTGTATATCACTTTGAACCTGTTTCATAGATTCTATTTCTTTCCTAAATCATTTATTCAGGAGTTCCATCATTTTTATATTCTCCTTTTTTTTTATCATTGTATTCTTTAGAAGCACTTAGTACTTCTTTGATTATAGTTACCACTACATTTTTTAGTTCCGAAATTATTTCTGATCTGATTTCTTCTATACCTTTCTGCAGTTGATTCTTTACTGTCAACGCTATTATTTCCAGGATATCTGGCATGTGATTTTTCAGTTTCCTCAGTGCTAGTGTCTTCTGCAGTTGTACTGGGTGGACTCAGGGCCTGAGACTGCATTTTGTTCCTTCTCTTTGTCATTTTGTATACCACTGTCTTGTGACCTTTGGTGTAGAGCTTGGATAGAGTTATTACCTTAGCACCAGGTCTGGATCTACAAAGTTCAGACTCCTCCTGGTGGGTGTTGCTTGGATTTGGCTGCTGTGCTCCACTTCTTTTTGCTGCAGCCATTAGAGGCGAACCCTTTGTGTCACTCAGGCAAGATGTTCTGCTCCTGAATCAGCTGGGTGGGTCTTACCTCTAGCCTCTTTGCAGGGAGTTCTGCTGAAGGGTTCCATGCAGGGCCTGCCCTCTGGGTCTATTCAGGATCCTGTGGCCTCGGTCATCTCACTCACTCACTGGGCCTGCACTCTGGGTCTGTTCAGGATCCCACAGCCCTGCTCATCTCACTCATGCTGGGCCTGCGCTCTGGGTCTGTTCAGGATCCTGCGGCCCGGTATCTCACTCACTTGCCGGGCCTGCGCTTTGGGTGTATTCAGAATCCGGAGGCCCTAGGTCATCTCACTCACTCACTGGGCCTGCGCTCTGGGTCTTCTCATCCCAGTCTTAATAGAAGACTGGTCTCAGAACCGTTTCTCCCAATTGGCCATTTAAGTTTAATAGTGAAAGACTGGTTAATGATAACAATGTATCATAAAACCTTCAGAAGGAAAGGAGACTGTTTTGTGGACCTTTTTTTTTATGTGGCAGTTTTTAAGTTATTAGCTCTTAACATCAATACTTTTTAGTGGAAACAACTTGACCAAAAATCTGTCATAGAATTTTGAGGCCCATTAAAACAAAGTTTAATGAGAAACCCCTCCCTCAAAAAAACTTAGACTTGAACAAATAGTTCTTCAAATACAGAAATATCAAAGAGGGGTATCAAAAGATATTTAACTTTGTTCATTATCATCAAGGTAATGCAAATTTTAAGAATGATTATGTCTTTTTAAAAAATTATGCATTTGGCATAGGGTCTTGCTATGCAGCTTAGACTTGTAATGATCTTCCTCTTTTTAGTCTCCTCTGTGTTGGGATTACAGGCAGGTACCACCATGCCTGGTTTCAGTGGCTGGCTCCATATGCTTAGGTCAGGGTCTCTGTAGCATGTGGTGCTGATGATTGAAGCCAGGTCCCTGTGCTTGTCAAGCAGGCGCTTGGACCACTGAGGTAGACTGATTACTAGTTCATAACAATGATTTTGGATAATGTCTTTATCTAATTTAGTTGCCTACAACACTAACTTTGTTTATCATAATCAAGGAAATGCAAATCATGACAATGACATATTAACTCACTCATTTGGATGCTACCTAAAAATAAGCTAAAAATGCAGGGGTTTGTGAGTATGCGAGGATACTGGAACCTTTGTGCACTGTTGTTCAGAATGCAAAATAGTGTAGTTGGCCTTGAAAAAATTATGAAGTTTCTTTTAAAGTTTTAAAGAGAAGCCCTGAATGATTCATTTAGTTTACTTCTTTATATTTACCCCACACAAATAAAAATCAGGGTTTTGAAGAACTATCAGCATCATTTTTACTCAAAATCCTGTCCATCTTAAAAGAAAAAGCTCTTACTCCTTTACTTGTGTATGCACAGATCTCTTCTACTTGTAGTTTGATGGACCAATATGACTTCCAGGCTCAGCCATAGGACAGGGGCAACCAACTGCCCAGCAAGAAGGAGCTGCACATTGTGAAAATCAGTGTGGCATTTACAATCACTCCTTTAAGAAGATGGAGCGAACACATGGGCAGAAGAAGGAGGTGTAAAGGAAAGTAATGCAGGAGAAGCAAAATAGGTTCCATGCATGTATAAAAATACCACATTGAAATATAATATTTTAGAAAATTGTACAGAGGTAAAATCTATTCTTGGTACAAAATTTATCTTATTTAACAAAGTTAAGTTGACTTCAAGTATTGTACTCCATGTCTTTGCAGGTTTTTGTGGTTATAAAGCTTAAGTAGCATTAACTGAAGTGACACTTTTCCAAATCTGAATTTGCTTTATTTATACCTTGAATAGGTAAAGGCAACAGGAAAACTTGTTTGGTTAGGATTTATTGTATGACACATCGTCTATGTGTGTTATTAATGGTGTCCTTGAGACGCTCCATCTCCATATGAAGTAGTCTGCTCTCATTTTGGAATCCTTCTCTTAAGAGACTGGCTTGTTCCTAAAAAAGACAAATGGAATATAAATAACTTCTGTCAATCTATAATGGGTCAGAAGAGACAAAGGTCACTAGACATTGTTAATTGGAACAATTCACCAGGAAGATATAGCAATTGTAAATATGCCTATACTGAATATTGGTGCATCTAATGCAGTAAAGCAAAATCTCCTTGACAGGATGAGGCAGAAAGATATCAAAATAAATATTATGGAGTATTTCATCATCCCACACTCACACAAATAGAAAACTAAACCAGACAAAAAAATTAATGAGCTACCAGTCTAGCTACATCATAGAACAAATGGATTTACATATACCTATGGAGCATCTCATCCAATGATAGCACATTCTTCTTTGCACTCCATAAAACTTACCATACATTAGGCCTGAAAGCATGTCACAATTAACACAAAGGAATTGTAATAATGTCCTGTATCTTATCAGAAGACAACAGTGTGAAACTGGAAAGCAGCAGAAGAAACTATCCAAACACAGGAAGATTGAATAATATACAATTGAGTAGTCATTGAGATACAGAAAATATAAGGGAAGAAATTTTAATTTTCTTGATAATGATATTCAAATGATAATGATAATGTAAATCTAACATAACAGAATCTGTAATATAATGAAAGCACATTTAAGAAAGAAGTTCATAGCTATAAGTTCCTACATTAGAAAAATAGAGAGACTCCCAATAAATAACCAAGGATATCTCAAGATGTATTGTGCTTAGCATCTAATGGATAGACTCAAGGAGACCACCCAAATGCATTTATACCCAGATAAGAAGCCAGGATATGCATGTTTTCTGCTTATAGTTGACAAAGCCATTCTTTAGAGAAGACATGTGTGCATAAGTCATGGGAAGACTAGGAAGGAATCCCAGGGTGCCTAGATTCATGGGTAGTGTAAAGAGCAGAAAATAATAAAGACTTTCAGGAAGTGTTCATGATTTAAAAATGGAGGATAAGTAGAGAATAAGTTTCTTGGGTAAAGATGGCCATGCTAGCCAGGGTATGAGAATAAATGAGTCAAATAAGAACAGTCAAGTAAGGGGTTACCAAACAATGATGGGGCATTTAGGGTGATCCACAGGGTAAAATGTTGACCTGGGAGGGAAAGAATACCAGACAAAAATGTACTGGGTGCTGACTGCATTGTAGTCACCAACAAATACATGGCATTCTGGTCTTCATGTAGTAAGTGGAGATTAACTCTAAAAGTAAAAATTAGGTAAACAGAGATTTCAAGAGTCATATGCTAAAGTGGTGGCAGAGGCAGGCAAAGTGCCAAGGATTGATGATACTTGGAAAGGCATAACAACATTGTCAAAAGGGACCTTGGAGATTTCCCTAAGCAGGTGGCATTGAAACAAAGAATCCGGACTAAGGATGGAGATGCTCTAGCTATAGGAGAAATAATTTTAATGAGTTCATCCCCATTCTAGCAGGAAGGCATTTTTTTTTTTCATATTATGTATTTCATACAGGGTCTCACTATGCAGCTTTGATGCTAGTGATCCTCCTGTTTTCAGCCTCACAGCCCTGGGATTATAGGTGTGCTCCACCATACCCAACTAGGTCTCTCACTCCAGTGTGCCTCGGGGGCAGGGTCAGCATGGCATGAGGGATCTGGGATCAAACCCTTGTCCCTGTGCTTGCTAAAGCAGGAGTTTAATCTGTTAAGTTATCTTCCTGGCCCTCAAGTGGTTGCTTTTCAGCACTTTATTCTGAATTTAACAATGGCTGGTGATGTCATGCATATTTCTGTGTATTTATCTCTCATTATTCTGTGTATTTATCTCTCATTATTTCCTTTGGTGAAATATCTTCTCATTCTTTTAACCAACTATTTTTTTTAACCAACTTCTCAATAAAGATTTTATTTGTTTTCTTAATGTGGACTCCATAGAGTCTTTAAATTTTCTGCATATAAGTCCTTTCTTAGTTATGATATGAAAATATTTTCTTTCAGCTTGTGGTACACCTTCTTTAGCCTTTTGCTGGTGTCCTTTTTGGAGCAAAGGTGTATCTTATGATAAAATCTAATGTATTAAATTTTTTTGTATGATTCAAATGTACTTTAAAAACCATTGGCAAAACTTTGTTGAGAATATTTTTCAAAGTACAGTAAAGTGTTTCACCTTTGTCTGCTCCAAATTTCAGTAACACCTCAAACTCAGCTTCAGTTAAGTGTCTCTGAAATTATAATTGTGGGATGTTTTTTAGCCTCTATGGCAGGTGCCACTGACTCTTTCAGTTATATACTAAGCAGTGTGAACCTTAAAGTCTGATAAGTCAACCTGATGAATCATATGTGTTCCCTTAGTTGGTAAATAAATATTAACTCTCATAATCTGTATTCAAAAGTTTTAGAGTTTTATGGTATATACCTAAGATATTCTAAAGATATAATCACTATGAAAACTAGAAAGGAAGATACAGGTTAATTACTAACTTCTGATTCTTGGTATTATGCATGATTGAAAATCCCAGAGGATTAAATTTTAGAAAAGACCTTGAAACTTTTCAGATAAACTTCAACATGCTCTTTGGGCTCATATCCAGATGTCTCCCCAGAGCTTCACATGTTCATAGGTATGGTATTTGCAATTTGCTTGGATCACGGTTATATGTTTCTGAAATCAGGCTGTGGATAACTGGATTAATCTGCTGTTTAGTTGAGCACAGTTCTGGATATGGATGATGGGAAGGCCCAACCTGGGTGTGAAGAGCACCAAGAAATAGCCTTGTAGCCTGACTGGAATAAATGAGGGAAAAGGAGGCTGATGCTTGCTGCTTTCTGCCTGAGCTGTCATGGGATGTTTCTCCTCCTGTGATGCCCCTTAGACATGTCACCTTGCCTTGGAGCTAGCTCACTATGGACTGAAACTGGAAAGCCACAGTAAAAATTTCATAATTTAATTTGTGGGTGTAAGGCATTTTGACACATGAACTCCTACTTCATTTTAATAACATGCTAGCAAGAAGAGCATGAAGCAGAGTACTTCAAGTCCTCTATGAAAACAAATTCCAGTCCAGACTAATATATCCTGCAAAACTCTCTTTCAGATTTGATGGAGAAGTAAAATACTTTCATGACAAAGAACAGCTAAAGAATTTTGTGATGAGAAAGCCAATCCTACACAGGCTACTGAAAGATGTTCTAGACAGGGACAAAAATAATCAGAACTCGACCAATGAGATCAGAAGCAACCAACTAAATAGGGCAAGCAATTAAACATAGGAGAAGAAGTAAACGACAACAGGTAAATAACATGTGAATTGTAAGTCAATACATCTCAATTCTAACCATCAATGTAAATGGACTCAATGCACCAATTAAGAGGAATGGACTGGCACAGTGGATTAGGAAACAAAATCCAACAATAGGCTGTATACAAGAAACACATTTAACTGATAAAGATATTCATAGGCTGAAAGTCAAAGAATAGAACAAAATACTACATGACCCAGCACCTCAGAAAAAAGCAGGGGTAGCAATCCTATTCTCAGACAGTCTCAACTTCAAAACAAGAATGATCAAGTGAAATAAAGAAGGCCATTATATAATGGTTAGGGGAAAAATTCAAGAGGAAGAGGTAACA